ATCAATCTTGTTTTTATTCGAGATATCATCAATTAAATATTCTCTTTAAAGATTTGAACAAATAATTACACACACACACGCGCCCTATACTCGTACGTCTGTGCACAAATTGACCTACGCTTATTGGCGAAATTGTAAATGCTATTAGAATTGGTTAACTGAATCATTGTTATTATCATTATTAATTTCGTTCATTCAGGGCCTTCTCCAAGGCGAATGTAAACAATTATTTAGACAAAAAAGTAATTTATGTATTTATATATTTTAAATATTAGAAGTTTTTGTATTTAACCGTTTTCTTTAGATTTTTAAAAATATAAAGAATAAAAAAAAAGAAAACGAACAGGAAGAGATTGTAAAGGGACAAGTAATTGAGGAAAAGGACAAAAAAATACAAAATTCGTCACATACACAAACGCACACGCACACACACACACAGAGACACAGAGAGACAGAGAGAGAGAGAAAGAGAAAAATCAACCTAAGATAAATAAATGGCGTACATTTGGAAAAACCCCTTGAGTTGTTCGGCTAAGAAGAGTACAGGTTAAAATCGTTTTGTGTCAGACTCACCATCTTCTCAAATGAGCAGTAGGGGAAAAATAATTCGTGGTACCAACATTCATACTCTGGCTTCCATCTTGAAAGTCCATTCAAGGAGCATCAAGAGAACGGTGAATAAATTCTAAAAAAGAGGGAACAGTAGAGAGGAAAACAGGATCAGGAGGTCACAGCTAGAAAAGGGATCATCATTTCAATTTAGAGCTAGAGATCAATTAGAAAAGATCCAACTCAATCCATATGACGTTTGGCCCGTGAGAGAGGAGTTTCAGCTACGACAGCTCAAAGAGCTGTGAAAAAAGACTTGAAATTTAAATCGTACGTGAAATGTAAGGTACCGTGCTACTCCAGGACAGAGAAATTAGAAGGTTAGAGAGGGGGAAGATCATCTTCAATATATTTGATAAAGATCCTGGAATTAAATCCTGTTTCATTAAATAATATAGACAAGTTTTGTCTATTTATTTTAAGTAAGTTCCTTTCATATTGTCTGATAAGTTTAATAACATTATCATTGAAAGAGGAAAGGAAAACACCATATTGTCTATATTATTTAATGAAACATGCATTAATGAAAGATTGCTGCCTAAATATACACAATTTAAATTACACGGTCCAGTATAGCCGACCAATATATATATATATATATATATATATATATATATATATATATATAAAGTTTCTTTTCAGTTCTTCATGAGCTTTAGATTATGTCATTTTCGTTTATGCTCGATTTCATCACGATTCTTCTGTTAAGATTGGAAAATAATCATAAATTCTTATTGCTCAAAGCAGAGTCTACTAGTGTTATAAAAACGTCGGAGAATTTCAGTAAGATATCTTTAATCATTTCTACGATACAACAGTTCACGGCTTCATTTAACAATTGGACAATTTTTGTTGTTGGTATATATATATATATATATATATATATATATATATATATATATATATATATATATATATATTTGGTTGGATAGATGTGAGTTTGTGACCCTGGGTTTCACGCTTTAGCGATCGTCAGACAAACTGACTATATATGACTATATGAATTGTCTGACGATCGCTAAAGCGTGAAACCCAGGGTCACAAACTCACATCTATCCAACCAAATATGTTAGCTCTATCTCTGATATTGAGCGCTTTCTAATAAGTACCGCGCATATAGTATATAAATAATTATACATATATATGTTTATTTATATTTATATACACTTTTCACATATATATATATATATACACACACACACACACACACACACATATATATATATATATATATATATATGTTAATTCTTAGCCGTTTAAATGCAGTATTTACTGTGGATACACCTGTTTTTTAACCTGTAAATCTATATCTGCTGCTTTATAAATGCATTTCGTTGCATGCCAGTCCAAAATGACGCTATTCCTGGAAGATTTAGTATTTTTGTGAGTTCAAAAAGATGATGAAGATGTTAAATTTATTGTGTACCGAATATCAGTCAATAAAAATGACTTAATAATCTTCTATTTCCATCATAACAACAAAATAGAATACAGAATAATCATTGCATTCTATTTAAGAACGTGCAATAATTTGCAGCCTTCAATATTTACACGAACAGGAGAAAAAATTATTTAAAATACTTTCAAGACCCTTCAATACCCTAACTATTTATCTAACTTTAACATAAAATTTGTCACAGATACATATAAGGCACTCAAAGATTTAATCAATAAAAACAACAAAAAACCCTCAAAAAACAAAAGAAAAAATTGAAGAAGGAATTTACTCAGTCAGTTAAGTCAGTCTGTTATATACCATACGTGACTTCATAAACTTTTAATCCCATCACAACACCAAGAAAAAGTCTGTAATGATCACTGGATTCTATTTAAGAGCACTCAGAATTTGCAGCCCTCAATATTTACACGAAGAGGAGAAAATATATTGAAA